GCCCACATGGAAGAAGCACACAAGCCTGTGTGAACATGAGGTGTCAATGGGATCAGGTATCAATCAGGCATCGAAGACCCAGAACAAAAATATCTATGTGAATGAGGGGGAGGGTGGAGTAGAGACCCAAAGCCGATCCATAGATAATTGGACATCCCCTTACTGCAGGGTCAACAAGGAGGAGATGAGCCAGTCAGGGTGCAGTGTAGCAACGATGAAACATACAACTTTCCTCTAGTTCTTTAATACTTCCTCCCCACACCCCCACTCTCATGACCCCAATTCTACCTTACAAATCCAGCTAGACCAGAACATATACAATGGGTACAGATAAGAGCTAGAAACAGGGAATCCAGGACAGATAAGCCCCGCAGGACCAATATTGAGAGTAGCGATACCAGGAGGAAAAGGGGGAGGTGGGGGGAGAAAGGAGGAACTGATCACAATGATCAACATATAACCCCCCTCCAGTAGAAAGCCCAGGTTTTGGAAATGTTGATGGCAACATCGGTACAAGTATGCTCAGTACTTAACACTGAATGATGGATTGTTGCTGGAGCCCCCCAATAAAATGATTCATTTTTTTAAAAAAAGCACAGATTTAGAAGGGCAGGTCACCATCAGGCATTGTGGAAGTTGGAACCCCGCAAATACCAGACCCTGGCCGCCCAGTCCCTTCTACGTGTCCCAGTAGGACAGTCGAACTGACTCCATCAGAACCGACTAGGGGGTTCCGATCCCGGACCTGTGGTTTGCGCAGCTCAGGGCTTTAAACGCTTCGCACTGGAGCCTCTGGGAGCCGGAGGTCACTGGCACGATAGGCTAGATAGGCGGGTGGCATCGCCGCGGCACGCAGCAGGCGTGGCGACCCAGGGGTCCTTGCCAAGAGAGGCTGCCCACAGGTGAAAAGCCCGAAGCCAGCGGCGGGAGGGCGCAGACCGGAGAGGCGGCACGGTCGGTGCGCTGGCACTTGGGCTCCAGCGCGGCCCCTCTCTCGCGCACCCGCGGCGGCCGGCGGCCGGAGCCTCCCTGAGCCCGGGATGGCAGCGAGCCGGGACGTGGCGGCCCAGCTGCTCTTCTACGTGAACGGCCGCAAGGTGAGCCGCTGCTTGGAACTTTCTAGTTTGAACTCTGCGGGGTGGGAGGTGGGGGGTTGGCGCCCCGATCCTCTGGGGCACAAAAAAGGGTGTGTTTTCAGGCACTGCGCAGGATGCTTGCCACCCCCTCCCCAGCTCCCACCCCCCATTGTCCTCTCTTTACAAGATCTGCTACTCTTACCCGTGGTCTGGGCTGCCTTGTCATCAATCCACTTCGACTCGAGGCCACCCTGTCCAGGCAGAATAGAACTGCTCTGTTCGATAGGATTTCCAGAAGGCAGCTCGCCAGGCCTGTCTTCCTAGGAGCCTCCTGGTCTGACGCTTAACCATTTACAGCCCGCAAGGACTCCCCATCCCCTCCACTTTAATTCCTCTCAAAGAAAAAGTCACTAATCAGCACCCTCA